GGTTCTTAGAAAAGATATACTCTTGGTAAAGTTGTATTTTGACTATATTTAACTATTTAATTCACAATTCTTTTATTCAGATACCACCACTTTTAACATTCACAAAAAGAAAATCACTTTAAAAAAAAGTTTTATTGGTACTTCATCTACATGTCATACAATTCAATAATTTAATCATATCAAGAAGAGTTGTATAATCATCACCACAATCAATTCTAGAACATTTTCTTCTTTCTTGTATTCACTGTTATTTATGTAATTATTTAATTGTGGAAAAAGATACAAAAGAAAATGTTTTACAAATTCAATAATTTCTACATTATAATTCAGGGCCATTGATTATATTCTTTGTGATGGACAACCATTATTGATATCCTTTTCCAAATTGTTCCACCACCATTAACATAAAGTCAATGTCCCTAAGCAAAAACTCTTCCTCCTTCACTCATGGTAACCATTGGCCAAGTTTGCTTTTCATTTTTAGTTTTCTTGATATAATGTATGACATATCATACATTTCCATAGTGAAATCACTTTTAAATAGTTCTGTATACATCATCATAATCAGTTCTCCCTGCCCCCCTCCTGCATTGTTTAGTCCCCAAATTACATCACCCTCCTCACACACCCCTCTCCACAACAAAGGTAAACCACTGCATCAGCTATTGTCTCTGTGCATCCACTCCTGTGCTTCTCAAACTGGGAAACCCAACAGAATAAAAAGCAAAACCTAAGCGAAACAGCAAGAAGAAAATAATAATAATATAAAGATAAAAATAAAGAGTAAGAAAGAAAAGGCCAACACCACTATTTAAAAAGCCAGAGAAGACATTGCTGTCATGGAACAAGCAAGAAATATTTGAGCCTAGAGCAAATTCACATTGAATCAAGAGGGAGAACAATTAACCCAAGTATCATATTATAATGTCATTCCATCCGCCATGTGTTAAGCCGGGTTGACTAGGGAAACAAATCCAGAGGCACTCATATATGTATAAGAAAGAGCTTTTGAGCCCACTCTTTTCTTTTATTAAGAGTCCTGTTTGGTCGCAAGAGGGCCTCATGGTGCTGTGAGATAAGTAAGCTCTTGGCTGCTAGCTGTACAGTTAGCAGTTCAAACCCATGAGTCACTAGATGAGGTTATCTGCAAGTATAAAGATTTACAGTCTAAAAAACCCTAAGGAGTGGTTCTACTCTGTATAATAGGGACTGTGATAGGTTTATTGTGCCAACTAGGCTTCTGTAGGAACATGCTGGCAGAGTTTAATCAGGTCGCAGCTTGATTGGAGGGTGACTGAGAGAAATGCTTTCTGAGGCTGGCCCCCTTCTCTCTTTCTCCCTAGTGATTGGATGAGGGTGCTGCTGCTTGAGCTAATCCTTTGCCTGAGGCATGTGCTACACTACCTGTGGGCCAAGCCAACCTGTGGATCATGTTGCCTTTCCATGTATCACTAGAGTTTGAGGATTCTTCTAGACCTGCTTGGCTACGCTGCTGGTGGATTGTGGAGGCATGCTTCACTATGCTCCTGTGCATGGGCTGTTGCTTCCCCATCCTGCTGTCTGCTGCCTGCTCAGACTCTGCTTGTCTTGCCTGACTACTTCCTTGACCAGCAGCCAGAGTGAACGGAAGGACCTTCAGTATATTAACTGTTGAGGAAAGTAAGTTCAACTGAGCCCTCTGGACTTCTGTGTAGACTGATTAACTCAGGCATCCTCAAACTATGGCCTGTGGGCCACATGCGGCTCACCGAGGACATGTATCTGGCCTGCCGGGTGTTTTTGCCCCATTTGTTTTTTTAAATAAGATATGTGCAGTATGCAAAGGAATTTGTTCATAGTTTTTTTTTAAAACTATAGTCTGGCCCTCCAACGGGTCTGAGGGACAGTGAACTGGCCCCTGTTTAAAAAGTTTGTGGACCCCTGAATTAACTGTTATATTCCTTCTTGCTGTATGAAATTATATATATATATATATACAATAAAAAAAGAAAGAGCTTTATATCAAGGATTAATTGTATATCAAGAAAACATCCCAGCCTAGTCCAACTCAAGTCCATTGTCCAGTACTAGTCCATAAATCCCTTTTGAGACTCACGCAGGCACAAGCAACAATGCAGGAATATCTCAAGTTGGTGAGTGCAGAGTCTTGTGGCTACAGTGGCGGTGGCTCTGGCAGCAAACAGGGTCAGCCAGCAGGATAAAGTGAAGGCAGAGAGAGAAGGGGAGGTTCCCTTAGGGACCTCCTTAGGAGGCCACACCCAGAAAGGAGGAACTATCAGGCTGTGACCTGATTTGCAGGTTGAATACCACTCCTACGGTTTTATCTATCAAGTTGACATGAAATTATGTAACTACAATAAATCATAATCAAGTTTATATTAATCTATCTGATAGTAAAGCAGTTTGAGTCCTCCACCTGTGGCCACATGGGATCTGCTGGGGGCTTAATCTGACTAGAGACTCTGCAGGTGGCTTTGAGTTCCCATTGTCCTCCTTACCCTTTTACAAGGTGAGTATTCACAGTTTAAACACTGATACTTTTCCCTTCATCATATTTGGGCCACAAAGGCTAGTGTGCTTCTTCCATGTGGACTTAGTTGACACCTCACTTAAATGGCTGCTTCTTTGATGTCAAGTCTTTAAGTCCCCTGACACTTCCAATTGAGAGCTAGGCACCATCTGTTTTCTTCCCCACACTTTGTTGTAGCCTTTATCTTCAGTGATCTTTCATGAAGGCCAGTATTGAGCAGGGCCATGTTAACTGTTCTTGGAATGGGGCTAGGGTTAAGTGGGAGCCCAGAATCCATCTGCTTGTCCATGGGTTATGAACAACTCTGGTTTACTTTGGTAGTCATATTATGACAAAAATACAAACAAACAAGAACAAAACCAAACAAAGAAAAGGCAGAAAAACAAAAACCCAAAGAAACAAAAATGAAAAGCATTGTCAGTCATCCCCAGGGTATAAGGCGATTGCATTGATAACATCAATAATTTATCCAATGACATGTAATTTAAGATACTGTGGTTATGAGGAGTTATGGGACTATAGTCTATGAGCTGTGATCCATGAGCTGTTGCTTTGATTGAGCTCTGTCTACAGGGAACATGGGAGTTGGTGTGAGGGGAAAATTTTCTGTACTATTTCTTTCAAGGGCAGATCCTTGCCTCTCAGATAAAAACCTGTCATTAATGCAAGGGGAGCATTAAGGTACTGAATATATGGTGGTTCTGGGTCTCTTTTTGTTGGACTTCCGCTGAGCTACGGGTCCCACCCAAGGTCCAATGATCACTATTTCCAGTCTTGGGTGGCCATCCTTTGCTTCCTCTCCCATCAGTTTTTCAGTCCTAAATCTGAGGGTACGAGTAGTTTTGAGGTAGAGCCCAGTTCGTTCAATTAGGACTTCCACATTGCATCCTTCTGGTATGGTTCTTACAAATCACTCTCTTTTCTGTTTTAAGAGGTTTACCACCATGAAGGCCTAAGCTATAGTTAGCATTAATCATAAAATCAGTCATTATAATTTCTGACTACATTAAACCTTATTTGTAGTTAAGGGGTAAGATATCATCTAATGTGAAATAATTTTAGAGAACTAATTACAACTAAAAAGCATATTTTGAGTATAAGCATGCTTTGGTTTCTTTGATTTTATCAGTAGCTGGTAACTAGTATTCTGCAGGAAAAAGGGTTTCTACTCCCATGAACACTCTCAGAAACCCAGAGGCAGTTGTCCCTTGTCCTGTAGGATCCCTGTGAGTTGGCATCCATTCCGTGGCAGTGAGTTTTAAAGAGGACTGTTTACATAGCCAAAAGTAGGCAACCCAAAAGAACTCAAAAAAATTCTCCACTTGTCTTTGGCACCTATATAACAAAAAGTTTTTTTCGAGGGAAGGGTGGAGATGCAGTTATTAGATATGCTCCAGGCAAAGAATGTGGTTCAACCCAATTTACAGGGTAAAAAGCCTCTGACAGGAACAGGTGAGGGTCACACCCTCAGAGAGTGACTAACACCTATCACACAGCTGCAGATCACCTGGTTATCTGTTCAGTTCACCGTATTCACTCACCACTTAATTCTTTGGGTGAAGGAAGCTTCAGCAGCAGCCCTTACTGGAAGAGCATACAGGTTGGGGCTCGACACGCATCTTAGATTCTTGAGAAGGTAAGGTGTTACAGGGGACCTGCTGTAGGGCTTTTACCAAAAGCTCAAAAAATTCAGCTCTGAAAGTCTAATACATTTCAGGCAGTAGAAATATTTCTTAGGCAGCAGGAATCCTTCCTTTAAAAAGTGTCTTCCGAGTCCATGGCAGGGGCAGAAAACCATCCTAGAGCCATCAACGTGACTAATAGGATGTAAGCAAAAATACTGGAAAGTAGACGAATAAGTGACTGATTGGGGGGACAAAAGGGGTGTGTGTTCGTGTTTGGAGTGGCGGGTCCTCAGCAGCAGCGTCCCTTCCAGAGATTTCACGTCCCGGGTTCGCCCAGCACCCGGTGGGCACACCTAGCATTTTAATCTCGCTTCCGTCCACCCACCCCCTCCGAATTCCTTTCCGGCTGCGGACCCGCCGGGGGCTCCCTTCCAGGCCGCCCCGCTTATCACCCCGGCCCGGTCACTTTCCGGCCGCGGCCAGACGAGCCTCGCAAAGTTTCCTGTGACGCCCCGTCCGTGTCCAGCCCCATCCCGTCCTCACTGCCCCCCTGGCAGCTCGGGACACCCGCTAGAGAGGAACCCCACCCGGAGCCGGGAGCAGGCCCAGAGGGCGGCGGCTTTGCGCGCGCCCACCCGGCCGGGAGCCTGGGCCCCGCCCCCTCGGGGGTCCTGGCCAATGGGCCGCGCCCCGCCTCCTGGGAGGAGGTGAGGAGGGGGTGTGGGGTCCGGGCGTCAGCGCCCGCCTTCCGCCTGCATCCATTGGCCGCGGCCTCTTGGGTGCCCGGAGACCGGAGTGCAGTGGGATTGGCCACAAAGGCCCGTGACAGCTGCGCTTATTGGCTGTGGAGGTCCCCGTGACGCGGGGTGGTGACTGGCTCCCGTGTCTGAGGGGCTCCGGCTTGTCAGGTTCTAGGTAGGTGCATTTCGCGCCGCCCGCGGCGGGCGCTGTTGCCCGGGGCAACGCTGGGGGAGGGGGTAAGGGAACGAAGGGCCGGTCGATTGCGGGGGTACTAGCCCCCGCCCGCAGGGGGGCGCCCGGGATTCGGCCCTGGCGCCTACGACTGCGCGGAGAACTCTTCCTGTGTCCTCGGCCATCCCCCCCAACCCCCGCCCCAGGCTGCGGGGTCGCCCGCCCATCTTCCTGCCCGCGGCGGAACATTCCTGGTTGGGGCTTGGACCGTGCTGCACAGCCGGCCCTGCGAGGCCCGCCCCTCCCACCATCCCGGGACCTGGAGGCTGAGGGGGCGGGCGCGGGCGCGAGCGGGCGGTGGCGGGTGGAATGGGCCCCGCCCCGTCGCGGGATCCGGGTGCTGCGGGACCTGGGACAGTGTAGGGGTGCCTGGGACACAGCCCATCACGCCTGCACTGTTTTACTCCGCGTGCTGCTTTCCTCGGCCCCGCCTTCCCGTTGGAGTGGCCACCCCCGAAGCAGAGGTGTTCCCCTAATTCTTTCCCACCTCCGGGCCCTTTCCTCTCCCAGGACCTCTCCTGAGTACACTCTTGTGCACCGCCCCAGTGCCATCTTCCTCTGCTTTTAGCCCCCACTTTGCATCACCTCTCCCATCCCGGCCTTCAGTGTTGCTCCTCAGGTCCAGACCAGAGACTGGCTCTGGGTTGGGAGCTACCACAGCGGAGGTCAGAGGTGGAGAGGCAGCATCTGCTCTGTTCCTTCTTGGCCATTTAGGTTTGGGGAGGTGTATGGAGGTTTTGAGTCAGCTTCAGGCTTAAAGTCTTACGTAGATCAACTTTCTAAAACACCAGCCAGGCTGGTGTTGGTAGGGCCTCATCGACAAATGGAAGGTTTCCTATGAAATGGTTGCTTTATTTTTAACTTTGTACATGTGTGAATTTCCTATCTAGTGCTTTGTGATTACAAAATCGATCATTTATTTGTTGAGGTAGCTAACTTTATTGCCGTGTTTTATGCCTTATGGTTAAAAATAATGAAGTTTTAACTTGTTTTATTCAGAAGAAGATGCCTATAGCAGTCTTACCATCATTTTGACATAAAACTTCACTGAAAGTGCTGAAGTACTGTTTTTCTCCAAATTGTTTAAGATCCATTTTTTTTCAAACAGCTTCCCTATTTATGATTGTAGGGATAATATCAGTAAGAAGATAGACCAAGACAGCTTTAGTGCTTAAAGACTAGAACATACTTTTCAACCTGTGCACTCAGAACAGGATTAGAGGGGAAAAGGTATTGCAAAATTCAATAACTTCACTAGTGCTTGTGGGCGTTGTAAACCTATGCAGACTAGAGAGAGGGCTCTATAAGAGCCACCGTTATCAATGTGAAGAAAGCAGAGGGTGAGTGAATCTTTTGTAATTTAGGGCATCATTTCTGCTAGTACTACGAGCCGAGCTGTAGGAAATATCCTTACAAATGTATTGGGAGTATATTAAAAGAGAGCATATAGGCATACTTTGAACTTAATGTTTTATAGGAAAGACTTGGAGTTCTGTTTCTCTTCTGCTTAGTAGTTAACAGCATGAACTGTATACCATCTAACATTACATAGTATCTCTTTAGTGCAGCTTCTGCACTGTTTTGAAGGATGATTTCAATAGTGTAGAAGAAGTAATTTAGGCTTTTGTTAGATGAATCACTTTCATTTCATCTTCAGCTGTTAGGTAGCTAACTAACTCTGGTCTGAGAACATTGCAAATTTGTTTGTTTCCTGTTCCATTATTTTATAATGAAAAATTTCAAATATGCAGACAAGTTGAATTATATAGTGAATATCCACCACTTGGACAACAATGATCTTTTTGTGAGAGTGGTTACAAAGGTAAACAGTGAACAGAGAGATGAGAAATTATGAAGTTTGAAAACCAGCATAAAAGTATTTCATAATGAAATACCGTAAGGTGCTTATTTCTGTGCATAGGTGGGAATAGTGTTTGTATAAACAATAATAATTTCGTTTCATGAAGTTATTCATTACGAAGCAGTCTGGTGAGGGAGAAGGAAGTCATCTTTGGTAAATCAAAGCTTGTATGATAAATTGCATTTTGATAATCAGAAAAAAGGAAATTAGTGAACTTGCTATACAAATGAAAGTTTTAAGATTAGACATCTGCATTAATAGTCTGTAGTTTGGTATTTGATTTTTTTTTGAGTGTGCATTCTTCTCTTGGAGAGCTGCATGGAGCTAACAATTCAATATGATGGTCACATAATAAATTGGATCAATCTCTTTTTATAAAAAATACGAATATATTGTTGTGATGGATAAAAGCTTTTACATGTGGCCTTTTTTTTTTTTAACATTTTATTAGGGGCTCATACAACTGTTATCCCAATCCATACACACATCAATTGTGTAAAGCGCATTTGTACATCGTTTCTCAAAACATTTTCTCTCCATTGAAACCCCCAACATTAGGTCCTCATTTTTCCCCTCCCTCCCCGCTCCCCCCTCCTGCATGAGCCCTTGATAGTTTATAAATGGGCATTTTGTCATATCTTGCCCTGTCCGACGTCTCCCTTCATCCACTTTTCGGGTGTCTGTCCCCCAGGGAGGAGGTCACACACAGTTCCATGTAATCGGTTCCCTCTTTCCTACCCATTCTCCCTTTACCCTCCCTGTTTTGCCACTCACACCACTGGTCCTATAGGGCTCATCAGTCCTGGATTCCCTGTATTTTCAGTTCCTATCTGTACCAGTGTACCTCCTCTGGTCTAGCCAGACTTGCAAGATAGAATTCGAGTCATGGTAGTGGGAGCGGGGAGAAAACATTTAGGAACTAGAGGAAAGTTGTATTTCTCATCATTGTTACATCGCACCCTGACTGGCTCAATTCCTCCCCGCGACCCCTCTGCAAGGGGATCTCCAGTGGCCTACTAATGGGCTTTGGATCTCCACTCCGCACTACCCCCATCATTCACTATGGTAAGATTTTTTGTTCTGATGATGCCTTACACCTGATCCCTTCGACACCTCGTGGTTGCATAGGCTGGTGTGCTTCTTCCATGTGGGCTTTGTTGCTTCTGAGCTTGATGGCTGCTTGATTACCTTCAAGCCTTTAAGACCCCAGACACTATACTTTTTGATAGCGGGCACCATCAGCTTTCTTCGCCACATTTGCTTATGCACCCATTTGTCTTCAGTGATCCGTTCGACACCCCGTGATCACACGGGTTGATATGTTGTTCCATGTGGGGTTTGTTGCTTCTGAGCTAGATGTGGCCTTTTTTTTTGCAGAACGTTTTATGCAGACAGAACTAATTTATCTAGGGTGACAAGTAAACTGATAGGACTGAAAATTGTATTGGCCATTTTGTCTTATGATGTTGATAAAGGAATGCTTTGATCCAGAACTTTATAATAAAGGAATAAGTATAAATTGGTGTGAATTCAGAAATGTGTATATTTGTAATTTCCCATTTCGGGAAACCCTTGCGCTGTAATTGTTTGAAGCGTGCTTTTCAGTTTTCTTATATCCTAAATCTGTTTTTCATACTTTCTCATTTATGTAACTGATTTCTTAGATAATAAAATTATGAACTATATCTTAGAATGGATAGATCTCTAGGTTGTTTCATTGTAATTTTAAATACCCCTCATTTGTCTTTAGCATGCTTGTACAGTTAATCTATCATGCCATTGAGAGTTTAAAGAGAACAGTAGGAGTCCTGGATGCAGCGGGGTTATGCATTGGATTGTGTGATACACAAGGTCAGCAGTTCGAAAGCACCAGCTACTTCGCTGGAGAACACCAGGGTTTTTGTAGAGTTAGTCTCTGAAACAAACTGGGGCAGTTTCTACCCTGTCCTATAGTCAGCATTGACTCGATGGCAATTAGCTTGGTTTGGTTTTTGGAAACAGGTCTTAGTTTTAGAACTTTAGTGGTAGTTCTAAAAGTTTGAGGACTCAAGTTAAATCAAAGCTCGAGCTTTGCCCTTTTCCTCCCTTTTGCCCTCTCTTTCCTACCTCCTTCCTCTTATTAGATTGTTTATGAAAGTCACGTGTTTTAATTAATTCAGAAAACTATATGAAAAAAATCACTTGTCATTTTAAAACTGCTGTTGAGTCAATACTGATTTATAGTGATCCTATAGGACAGGGTAGAACTGCCCTGTGAGTTTCCAAGACTGTAATTGTTTACTGGAATTAGAAAGCCCAGTCTTTCTACTGCTGAGCAGCTGGTAGTTTCAAACTGCTGACCCCTCTCATCACAGCTCAATGCATAACCAATACACTACTAAAGCTCCTGTCGTCATTCTAACATAATTAATGTGAAATATCTGAAACCAGGTTCTTCTGTAACTTTCTATTTTTTTTCTTTGTTTTTATCAGTATCATTTTGGGGGATCTGTGCATGGATTTAAACCTGCAGAAAATTTTGCATTTGAGACTCAGTTCCTCTAAATTAGAAGAGATGTTCAAAGGAGGGAGGTTTGAAAAGATTACAGGATGAGGTAGGGCAGAACAAAGGAGTCAGATCTAGGCAGCTACCCAGTTTTTTGTATTCAGTAAGTACAAATACAATCCTACTTACCCTTATAAAACTAATGTGCCTGACAAAATAAAGGGCTTCTCAGGTTTTTTATTGGGAATTAAAAATATTTAGGTGATAAGAAATTTACTTAGTACCTTTCTAAAAAGTAAATTTCTCTATTCCTGAGATAGTACGTATTCAGTTATTTAAATTTTATATTATATGTGATTTGTTATTATTAAATAATCTGCTTTTATTAAACGATGACTAATTTTCAGTCTTATCAGCACTTGCCATTGTTTCCTCCTTTATTAGTAATTAAAACACTGAAAGTGTTTGTCTAGGTATTTCTTTTCAGGTAGCGAAAAGAAGATCTATTTATTTTGGAGCTAGACAGTCTGTATTTCAGTTTTAGTTCCTCTTCTGTGGGATTTCAGGCAAATTACTTAAATCTTTTAAAACCACTGT